ATCTACACATTAAAACCTTATAGATATGCTGTTTCGAGTTTGATAAGAATTTCATTGCTGTCTGCTACTAGTATTATATCAAAAACGATGTGAAGTTCAAATATAGACTTAGAGCTATCCGCAAGTGGACCTGTGTGTCTTGTCTGTGTGTTATCTGTATGTCTATGAACAAAGGCATTTGTCACATGGAGTGGACCTAAAACACCTATAAACAGCTGATCAAAACGGTCTTCTGGCAGGATGCCAACTCAGCACCAATAATAACACTGACCCAGAAATATAGCACGCAAATTGATACAAAAGCTCTTCAGGAGTAGGGGCACAGCTGAACAAATGACTACAGATTTCATATTTTATAATCAGAAGGAAGGAGATAGTTATAATCTCTAAATTATCAATCATGTAGGAAGCAAATGAGTGTTTATTTTCCTGTTTTTCCATATGGATAAGGATGCCTTTGTGCTTCAAAATTTCAGGTGAGATTTTCTTTTGTCTATGAGCCAGCTTACTTAAAGCTATGATATTCATTAACTACAACCTTCATTTCAAACTTTGCAAATGTTTATGTTGTATATATTTCATAATTTTGCCTGCATGGCTAAATGATATCCTCTATCAAGTAATTATATACATATAGTGTTCAATGTTTATGCTTTGTGCTGTCAGATGGGTGAACCATATTACATACTAGTGATAAATTAAAACTTTTGATCTGTGTTTGTAGACAGCACCAAGGAATCTCAGTGTTGCCATACATGGACAATTGTATACTGCTGTAAGATAAAAAATATACATTTTTTTTCCAAAGGGTAAATCTACTGTTTAATATAATGTACTTGACCTTGTATCCTCTGGTGAATTACTGGGATACCAACACACTGTGATATTAGATAGCCCAAGTTATCCTGACAATATTATCAATATATTGATTTGAAAAAAAATTGATATTACATCAGAATAGTTCGGACGAGTGACAATGGTATGTACCATACATGTATGTACCCCTCAATCTACTGTACAGTTTGCCTCATTATAGGATAGCCCATTTTAATTAGCATTGTTCACATAATAAAGGTATCCCCACTTAGGCCAGGCATGTTTTTTCTTGTAAGATGAATTTGTATATACTTATATAGAGTGCTGTGATGATGAAGGTACAAGCACGAAGGGTAAATTTAGCCACAGTGATCATACAGTGATCAGAGATGAAATAAAGAGCTGATCTTTTGTGTGTATAATCACCCTGGCCAGGTAAATGTGTACACACAGAAATTTACCCCTTTGTCTAGTTCCCATGTAGTGGCCCTGCATGCAGGTTGTTATTGATTTCTAAATCTTCTTTTATCTGACTCATCAATATTTCAGTATTCTTTCCTGTGAAATAAAGTCCTTTATCATGTAAAAAGTAACATTTGAGTGAAGCCTGATTTACCAACCCTTCCCTTGCTTCCTGAGGTAGATGGGTGTCTTTTGTCATTTGACCTTTACTAGGTCTCAATCTCTAGTTCTATAGTCGTGAACAAAGGAATCAAACAGTAACAAAATGAGGTACAAGTCGTAATAGACGTAGAAATTAAAAACAGATGAATAAAAAACCAAGTATTTTCTTGTGAAATGCTGATTGATTGTTACAAGAAAAATATTTTTAAAGATATTTTTTTTCTTTCCTATGTGCTGGAGAGAAATTTTGACATTAGACGTAGTGGAGAGACCTCTTTGGTATGAATAAAGTCAGTGTTATAATGGAGGGATGGGGACTAGAAGACAATCCTCTCGAGTTCACCTGTATACAGGTGTGTATGTAGGTAGTGATAGACATACACTTGTTGACAAATAAATTTGACTATTGATTTTACGGATTCGGCCCAAGACCTCCTGGGTTGTGCCTATAGAGAAAAAGTGCTATTTTTATTTTTCAAGTTCGTGTACAACTACATGTACATGTTTCAATAGATATTTTACAGTGGAATAAAACAGTAGAGTACTTGTTGTAAACTTGCAATAGAGTTTGAAATGTTTGGTTCAGCTGGTACACACTGCTACATTTCATTTTTTCATTATTTGTGAAACTTTGGCTGAAATATACTAAGAGATCTGCTGAAATATGTCACATTGGAAAGTCACTGTGAAGAAGTAGATGCAAAGTTACTGACTAAGGAAATTAATGACATTCTAAAGAGTTGGCCTTACAATTTGCAGTCATCTATCAGTCTGTGTGTGTGTCACTTGTTTGGCCTTAAAGTTGTCAATGAAATTAAATTTAAGTTCATAAAAAAAGTATAAACACTTACCTGTAGTTGTCAATGCACTAAAATTCTGTAACACAAAACTGTTCTGAAAAGTTTAGCTGTTGATGGACTAAAATTTTTTATTGCATGCAAAAAATTTCAGGGTCATTCACCTACATGGATTTGCCAGATTTTGAAAGACAGTACGTCATGAGATGTGATATTAAAGTGAAAGTCTCCAAAGTCAGAACTTCTGGAGATAATAATGTTAAAACCATATATTCTCTCTTCATTATACATAGATACGGAAACAACCTGCTTCATTCAGAGTTATTGCCCTTTATTTTTTGTTTATCAACATTTGGTCACATGTTAAGGACTATATGGATTGCTTCCAATATTCTGTCTTGTTTACATGTGATTTAGATTCCTGCACTGAAGACTTATAAATCACCACTGATATATTCCCCTATTGAACAAAACTTGCTATACGAATGTTTCACTTTCTTAAATTGCTACAAAAATGTCACCAGGAATCTGTAGATGCATCATATGTGTAAGTTATGATTATCAGTTGTCTACATACATGTTCTATCTTTGATCTATCATACTTCTGTTGTAAAACCATATAAATGGATTATTATTAATATCTAATCCCTTATAATTGGTTTGAAAGGTACTTTGTGGGATTGTTGTGTGGTGTTATATGGTTTATTGTAGTACTTCAAACAAATGTTCTTTTCTACTTTTGTCTACATGGGGAAATTCCATATAAATTTATGAAATATTCCCAGTGGTACATACACAGGAATTTCCACATAACACAGTCCCTGCTATCGTTCTCCTTTTTGAATCTTTATTGATCATGAATGCATATTGATTCTTTGTGCCAAGGCTGGCTGCGTATTTATATCAATATTACAACAGGTACTTCTCATTAATTTGATTTCTACCAAGAGCAGAATGCTAAAAATTATTTGACAGATCTACGATAATCATCTTGTGTCTTTAAAACTTGTACATATCCATATCAGTGGATAAATATGAAATTGATTGCCTATTTGACATGATGCCAAAGTTCCTTTGTGTTCCCTGTGTCATCCAGTGTGTGTATTTATATAAGTAATACCGTAGGTGTGCACAGTCTTGTACGAGTTAACAATGACGTCATCTTTGTCCGTTCAACTGAAACGTTAGGTAGCTATTCCAGTCTAGTCATTTCTGTGTAGGAGTCGTTACATGGTTCAATTTCAAAACAAAAGGTAGCAGTGATAAAAAACAATAATAAATGGAAAAAAATATAATTGTGCCAAATAGTATTTGAACTTTATAGAGATTCTGTATATATAAGTGACGCCTTAATGGCCATGTATTTTAACAATGGCTACAAAGTTCTTTGAATAAATACAATAACTAATATTTTAATTGTGTAATTCCTGATTGCAGAATTCAGAAGTTTTCTCTGTGAATCCTAAGTTGTAGAAATGTGCTGAAATTGTTCATTGACAGATAAGTGTCAGAATCATAAATAACTTATTATCATGTACTTGAGGAATCTTCAAATTGAAAGAATGAGGTAGAATGGGAAACATAGAAATTACTCAAGTGGCCTGTGAAAGCCTTGTCTACCCTGTTCAAGTACCTCTCAAAGTTTTATAAAAAGATTTATTACTTTCAAATGTCTGAGTTGATACCTCGACAACATGAAATCTCTGTATGAAATCGGTAGTTCTTGATTTGTGTATTAATATCATGATATTCATTCTGCAGAAGAAGTAATAAAACACAAGTATATTTCTATGGTGGGAACTTTGGATGTAGTGAATACAATTTCTGATAATCTCCCCCAGACATGTGATCTACGTATAACTTTACCTGTCCCCGTGACCGATGGTATAACTGTTGACAAGTAAACTCACATCTATAGCCCCTTTGTCAGGAAAATTTTAATGAACACCATTATATGTATATAAGACATCAATGGCAGGAAAGAAAGGAGGATTTGTTTAGGCATAAATGAATTAGGGGCTAAACCGTGATATTAGAATAAATTGATTTTTTTAAAAGTTCCATTTTAGAGTTAATTTACCTGATAATACGTAAAGTATGATTGAGTAACATAAATGCTTTGACATTACTTGGCCAATAACCATTGGTCTGTTTACAGAATTAGGTAAAGAATGTAATAATCAATATCATCCGACTTAAAACCTCATAATTGTCTTGTCTGCTAGCTGGATAAACTGCTTTACTGTCTACTTAGGGTTCTTGTTTTATTAATACTGTAAATAGGGACTTTTTCATTTCTCACAAAAGTTTCCAGTACAGAACTTAAGAGGCACAAAATGTACTTAAAAACACAAGAAGGGTGTACTTGATAAGACTGGTTAAGCAGAAAATGTTCCCTGTGAAAGAAGTTGTAACATGAAACTTTGATAAAAAAAAAATCAATTTTGGATTTGAAATTTAAAAAAAGTTAATTTCAGCTATATTACTAACTAAAGTGGCTGGGTTTGTGGTAGGTAGATATTTAAAAGGCTAATTTTGTATATGTAGGTCACTGAAGTAAACAATGTTTTAATAAACATTACTCAAGTGCATCCATTCTCTTTACCAGAAGAAAATTCAGAATACCATTTGAGGAGCTGATATACATTGATCAGGTCAAAAACCGATTTCTCAACATACTAATGTCAGGTCTCTTTAATACTTTCAGGACAAAGTCCCTGGGTAGAAACCAATGGAGACTACTAGGCTACGCCCATCTCTATCATGCCAGAATCTGCCGAGGAAGAACGTGGGGGGAGTAGATTGGGCTCAGGAAATCGAGCCACTCCAAATTCAGCATCCCAATCTAATATCAGTGCTCAGTTAGAGGCTAACAGAAAGAGGATTGGATCTGCTAAATACTACGACATAGCATCTACACTAATGGGCAAAGGTCACACTGGCGACCTTGAGGAACTCTTTCTAGCAGCGGCCAGAGTATGTATATTGAAACATAGGCGAGAGTATTCAGATAAGCCTTCATTCATGTCCTTTTTTTTTTTTTTTTTGTAAAATTTGCTTGTGTATATCAAAGTGTTACAATAACAAGACTCTAAAATTCCAATAAGGTTTTAAGTTGTCACACATTCTTAGATGACAAGGGAATGATTGATATTCCAGGATGGGGACTATGATAAAATAGAGAATTTCCTGTTACGGAGTGGAAAGGACCACTTGGTCAGTATTGATGTCAAGGACAAACGAACTGGAAACACCTCACTGATCTGGGCAGCCAAGCGTGGACATACTAAGGTTAGTCGCCATCAACATTTTAATCTGTCATGACACCCTCCCACAGTTGATTTAAGTTATGCACATGCAACACAATTTTCTTTTTCAACGATATTGATGGTACAATTTTCTTCAAATAGAATTCATAATAAACATCAATATCTTAGGCAACTATATTGTAACATAGACTATAAGCAGGGATCTTGATTCTCCTGAAAATACATGTGTACATGTATCAATTTTGCTGTAATATTTTAATTGTATGCTGATCTCAGTCTTGACTAAAGTTCAATTTAAAAATATTTGTCATGAAGGAACAAGAATTGTCCATTAATATATATGGTGTCCTGTTCATCAGGAAAATCATTGTTTTTCTATGATAAATAGAACCTGGTTTGATATTTTTCAGATCGTTCAGCTGTTATTGAAACATGGAGCAGATATAACATTGAGGAACTATGAGGGTCAGACAGCAGTGGAGGTGGCATCAGCTTCCATCAAGACTCTCCTTCTGGACTCTATCAATCGGTCAACAGAATCATCTCACAGACTTCTGCTCCAGGCAGCTTGGCAAGGCAACATCAGAGTCCTCAACAAACTTCTGGTATGTTGTTGTGAAACAATTTCGATATTACAGTTATTATGGTCACTTTCGTTCTCTGTACCCCTAGAAATATGTCATGGCAAAATTAAAGGATCTTTGTGCAACAAAGGTCGCAATATAACGTTATGTTATAATGGCTTTGAAGATGGGTGCCACTCCTTCATACTCTTTCAAAGGAGTGTATCAGCCTGTGATTGGTCAGTTTTTTCTTATGGAACCAATCAAATCACTTCGTTTGTGCCTTCAATTTTGCAATGACATATTCCAGGGATGCAGGGAGTGAAAATGATTTTAACCCCAGGAATATGGAGGATGTTGTGAAACCTGATGTTTGTCACATGCACCAATTAACTGCTTTACTTAAGTAGAATTTTGCAGGTCAAACTGTTGTGGTTATGCCGTAGGAAAAAAAATTGCTGCATTTCTTCAATTTAAGCCAAAGGGGTCATCACATTCTTTCTGACTCATAGTCAGGTGTTGGCTTATGAGAGAACAATGAAATATAATTAGTTGGTATTTCCACTGAACAGCTGTATATATGCATGAATGAGTTTGCATTTGCTAAAATATTCATATTCTGAGGCGTATGAATTCATGTGAAATTTTCCATACTTCGGCTAAACTGAAAATAATAGCTTTATTCAGATAAGCTCTTAGCAAGTGTGATAAGCAAACTCCTGATTGAATGTAAGAAGTGAATATTGTAGAATGATAGTATATCTTACAAAGTGTTACATACATCAACATGAGAAGTTAACTAGTAACTATACATGTGATTAATTATACACATATAACAATTATACAAGTGTGTATCTCTTTTCACCCGTGGGATTTTCAGTTCTTATAATCTTAAGACTGAAGTGAGTGTAGACCTCTATGATAAAGCTGATTGTCATGGACTAGATATACTTACTATCAGACCAAAAACTGAAACAACACATGAAGTCTATTTAGGCATTACTAATGATAGTAGAATATCTGTTTGTTTTCGTTCTTTGCCTTCAGTTATACAGTTTTTGTAGATGTTTAAATAATGTGCTTTCTTGGATGTAGATAAATTTTGTGTATTGTCCATGAAAACAAATCCATTGTTACTCTCTATAAGGATGGCCTTTCATAAGCAATTTAATGGATCACTTTCATTTGCTGTCAATTTTTCTAAATACAGAAACTGGGGCATTTAAACCTAGTTTGTTAACAAAGTAACATGTATATAGACATGGTATGACAGGTCCTGGGGCAGTGACCGCACTTTATTACAGTGCTACCCAGCTGTTAATTCAGGCGACATCTTAAACTGGCGATAATTGGTGATGTATTTGGTGTATTTAACCAGCGCCTGTGAATAATGTATATACAGGTAGTTGCTAGCTAATAGCTCTGACAGTGTATTGATTTCAGTGTGAGTTTTCAGTTAGATAAACAGAGAGGAAAGTTGTCTGTATATATTTATTCTTGTAATGATATGACTTTATTGATCATTTTAACAATGTTTTGACGTTACCGTTTTTCCCCACTAATAAATCCACATCTGCTATTAAGCTCACATAAATAATGTATAATAAGGCTTTTCATCAGCTCTTTGTGTCTTTTATCATATCAACCAAAGTTTTGTTTCCTGAAATGTGTTGAAACGGCAACACGTCTACAAATCTTGTAGTTATTGTACACTTGTATATGGCTGAACATTCAGTTGATATTGGTCTGGAAATATGCCATGTTTGATAATAAGTCCATGTCTGGTAATAAGCTGTGCTTGGTAATAAGCCCATCAGTACCATATCTATCACTTTTCAGCAGAAAAACCAACAAGTGCTTCTTTGCCCTGTAATAAGCCCACCCCCTGAATGTGAGTCAATGTATTAAACCCCATGGGTTTATATATAGGATGACTATGGTGTTGCTATATTAGCACATTAAACTGTTGTTGATTTTATCGCAGGTGTAATATCTCTACCCTGTATGTTATCTAGGTTAATGTAGAAACTGGTCAGCCGTGACGGTCATCGTCTCCAGACAATAACTTGTCTAAAGAGCTGTAAACATAATGTATCCTATTATACAGCATTAAGTATCTGACATTGTAACATAATGTCTGATCTGTTGCCATTTCCACTCGGGTTATGAGTGTTGGTGTTATATTTTATTTCAAAACTAAGGACTTAATGCAAAAAACACTGTAATATACTTGCTGCTGTTTAAGTTCAAAACCAAAGTGAAAACATATGAAGTATTATGATATAACAGTATTAAGTGTCAAAAAGCCCAACAAATTTGTGCTATAAATCACCAGGAAAAATGGTCTCCGGGTATACAGTGGTGTAGTTATTTTGTTCCTCTACGAACAAATGCATATATAAAAATAAAACAGCGTTATGCCAATATCCTGTAATTCTACCACAAAAATTTGCAATATGTAGCATTTTGCACCCTGTACTGCAACATTATCCCTGTTTTGTTTTTAGCATGTTAGTTAGGAATGCTCTAGTTTCATTTGCTACTGCAGCCTAGACACCATAAAAGGAGTAAAACTTTTAATAAACTGACTTACTTACACCTGACTTGGTTCTTACAGACCAATTATTACACTCGGATGGGTATTTAGAGGAAATAGTATTTTCCGCACGATTTGGTTAGTAAGATCCATAGACAGATTTAAATTCCCATCAGGCTGTCTTTCTTGATTTATCCCTGACTCCAGCAAAACACAATTATTAGTAAGTGCCAGTTGACATGACTTGATGCATGTTGTACCACTAATCTGAATGTAAACGACATTTGTATGAAGGGTTGAGAATTTCTATATCAGGGTATTCAGTCCAACATGTACTCCATTAGAGTAGAGATCAAACTACAGTTACACAAACTATAGGAGAGTTTAGAGTGCCAGTTATTTTACATTTTTATAGGTGAGGTAAAAATTAGTATTAATCTATCAAAATTATTCAGTATTTTTCTCAAAGATGAAATGAAAAGAGTTCAAAAGAAACAATAACAGGGAGTGACTTATATTCTGAATATATATTGTGTATCTAAGACATGTATTTATATCATTTCAATGGCTCATTTGTAATATTTGAATTTATTATTTATTTTTAAGCCAATCTTACGATGTTTTATTTTTCTGGTTTCAGAATGAGAACAAGGTGAAGGACATTAACTGTAAGAATGCAGAGGGTCTGACACCACTCCTGCTGGTGGCTCGAGACATCCAACTGTTTGAACGTCTAGCCATACAACAGAAACGCCCTTACAACCCAGCAGAAGTCGTCACCTCTCTCCTCGCTCACCGGGCGTAAGTCATCTCTTCTCACTGCTATAGTGAAACTGGACCTTGTCAGTAACTGACAATACTTTGTACTGATTTGGGATTGAAATTTTATTATTTTACCTCTAACTAAGATTACTTGCCCTTAGACAAATACATGTAATGGTGGATTTTGAAATTTTGTCTGTTATCAATCAAGTTAAACATTTTTCAAATGTCCTGTGTCTGACTTTTGTAGTGACATCCATGCTGTAGATGAAGATGGAAAGACCTGCCTACATTATTCCTCTCAGTCGAAGGCATCCCTGGCCCAGACCGTTGTACAGGCCCTCATCACAGGGGGCCCTGATATAGGTAAGGACTCTGAAATCTGAGGTCAATTTATCTACATGTATACACAAACTGTCAAGCTCTCTAACATATACATCTTTTGTTGTACTTTAAAGTATTGTTTCATTCACCTTTTACTGGGGTTTGAGAGTTTAAGATGCATAATAACATGTACTTTTACAATGTTGGTGAAAAAGTCCTTACATTTTTCTGTTTTTTTTTATTGTGTGTTAGAAATTAATACATCTACTAGACTATTTATTTCAGATATGGTGTTAATGAAATATCTTGCATGGTGCTGATTTTAACTAACGATGTGAATTTTTCATTTCTGAATTTCTCTTCTTCTTCTTCCAGACCTTAGAGACAAGCGTCTATTTGCTCCAATTCATTGTGCATCCCAGAGTGGGAACACAGAGTGTGTAGAAGTTCTTATTAATGGTGGGTCAGGCGTTAACTGCCGAGGGTTTGCAGGAACCACACCTCTTCACATCACAGCATACAATGACAATGAGCGAACTGCCTGCTGCCTACTGAAATATGGAGCTGACGTGACTTTGACAGATGACCGTGGCCTCACTCCTATGGACCTAGCTCGTGGGAAGAAGATGAAGACCACGTTAAAGGAGGCATGGGCAGAGGCCATTCATGGTCATGCTCCTACAAATCTTGCCCCTGTTAAGGCCCCTTCTCGCCAGGAGACAAGGACTTCACTGGAAGACCTCAATAAGAGCAAAAAGGGAGGCGAGGTCATATTTGATGTAAGTTCAAAAGTCAAAGGTTATAAATGGGTATTGATTTTCAGAGGTTTAGAAAAACCTGATTTAGTCAAGATGATGCTGAATAATGAATATTCAAATACTATTCTGAAAAACTGAATTCTTAAAATAGCCCTATGTAATGGTTACTTACTTCTTCAGAACATGCCGTCCAATCCATTTGCCAACATGAAGGATACACCTAGCAGTAAGTACATTCCTGTTGTTTATTGCACTTCTATCTCATTGATCTTTGTCAACATTTCACTTGACATTGTGTACCTTGACTTATAATTCCATGGCGTGACCTGTTTATGTACCATGTGACCTGATTTGTGTACCATGTGACCTGATTTGTGTGCTATGTGACTTAATTTTTGTACCGTGTGACAAGATTTGTCTCCTGTGACCTGATTTGTGTACCATGTGACTGGATTTATGTCTCCTGTGACCTGATGTATATCCCATGTGACCTGATTTGTGTACCATGTGACCTGATTTTTATACCATGTGACTGGATTTATGTCTCCTGTGACCTGATTTGTGTGCTATGTGACTTGATTTTTGTTCCATGTGACCTAATTTATATTCCATAAGACTTAGTTAGGTCCCAGAAGACCTAATTGTATACCATTTCATGATGCTGCAGAAGGTCGTCTACTGTCCCGTCACTTGAGCCTGAAAGACAAAGAAAAGGCGAGGCGTGCAGAGGAGTTAATGAGGAGAGAGCACGAAAACAGCAGTGTTACTCCTGGACCTTATGTCAAGTGAGTAGTAACTCTGTAGGATAGGGTGAAGGCAGAAATAATTCCTACATTACAGGGGACAGGTAGAAATAACTCAACAATATAAGACACTAGTTAATGTCCAAGTCAGATGTGACTTTCTCCCATCAACTCCTGATGTCATTTGATATTGTCATTACCAATCCTTCAAAACCACATTTCCAATTTCTGTATAGATTTTGTTATTCATTTGAATAATGGTATCAAAATGTTGATTAAATTTTTTTTATTTAAAATGTTACAGTTACATGTGAATCTGTCTCCTGTTTGGTTCTTACTTACCTATGAAATGATTTTACTTTTCATCGTTAACAGAGATGGTATGCGGAGACTTGGTATGACAAGGAATCAGCATCCCTCTCCTCTACCCAAGGGAAAAGGTTATCAGAGATTGCCTGCTATCAGTCCAGACAGAATGAGTATAGATCGTAACCAGGACTGTTCATCACCTTTCACTCGGAATAGTCGATTCCGACGATCCCTTGATGAAACCAGGCTTTCCTACTCTAGAAATTCATCTAATATGGGTATGTAGTGCGAAATTGAGAAATGATACCATACATAGTGAATTCTTAGAAAAATGATACTGCAAATAGAGAAACATTGCTGCTAGGGGTTTTCTCTCTTCCACAGAACTGTTGTCACTCATCTTCAAATTTGGCCTGGATTAATATAGTTTAACATCAAACTTTAGCCTTTTTTTAATTTTCATACGTCAAAAAAAAATCAAGACATATTTAAGCATGGCATTGTTGATTTATTTCAAACTTTTACTTTCCTGAGATCTCCTTTCACAGTTTTCAACCAATCTCTTTAAAACGTGGTAAACTTAATCACCTTGACATGAAGTTGTGTTTTTCCTGATTGGCAATTTTGGTTGACTGTAGTTAGAATTGTTACTAACTGTTGTTGTTTCATGATGTTAATCTTGTCAAGAGATCACTTTTCTTATCTTTTCAAACATGGTGAGCTTAATCAAAGTGACAAAAGCTGAGATTCCCTGAATGACATTTTAATTTGATTTATTCATGAGAGTTATTGCCCCTTGTTGTTTCCATAACATTAATCTTGTGCAGAGATTTCTCAGTTTCAACTAATTTCTTAAAAACTTTGTGATTTATCTTAAAAACATGAAGTTTTGACTCATTATAACCACTTTGATATTTGTATTCATTTCATTTACAAGAAATCATGAATATTTCTTTGGCATGAGATAGATGTATATTGTTCTGCTCTGTGGTGTTCCTTTTGACCTGATGGCAAAGTGGGCAAAAGTTTAAATGTGGTGAATGTATGTTCTAATGAACTATAACATTTGACTACAAGGACAGTAATACAATTGCCTGATATAACGTTTCAAAGATATCTTTATTTCCATCAGAATTATTATAATTGGTACAAGAAAGTGTATTGAATGATATATGTTAACTTTAAGATATGCAATTTCTGTTTCAGCCTCCTTCCCTAATCCTGGACCATCAAAAAGGAGGATGTCACCTTTGTCTAGTAAAGATGGTTGTCTCACTCCACTTAGCTTTGATTATGACAGTGGGCCAGGCAGTAGCAGGTAAGACAGCTGTAATGACAGAATATACATGTAGGCAATTTTCACTCAAAGTATTTGTGTCGTTGAGTTTTCTTTTTGTTTGATATAACAGGATATTTAGATAAAGAATGTATACAATAACAGTCATTAAATTCTTAGCAGTACAATCCTATTGAAACTGTTATTAGAAAATATTTCAGCACTGTGATTGTGAACGTTTACCATGAAAACCAAATTAAAAAAAGAGATAGATTTAAAATAAAAAAGATACAGTATAACCAGTAATTCATGACTAATGATATTGAAGAAGATGGCTGATTTATGCCTTCATTAGATGTCTGCATTTCGAGAGGAGAGCCAATTTGTACATTAATTATGTGATGTTTAGTCAAGTAGATGGCTTATTTGCATGGATCTGTGTGTCAACTTGTCTAGGAGAAAGGGTGACACATGTGTCACCTTGTGTAGGAGAAAGGGTGACACATGTGTCACCTTGTGTAGGAGAAAGGGTGACATATGTGTCACCTTGTGTAGGAGAAAGGGTGACATATGTGTCAACTTGTTTAGGAGAAAGGGTGACATGTGTCACCTTGTGTAGGAGAAGTGGTGACATATGTGTCAACTTGTGTAGGAGAAAGGGTGACATATGTGTCAACTTGTCTAGGAGAAAGGGTGACATATGTGTCACCTTGTGTAGGGAATGGTTATTTATACCTTTTGTTCCAGGTTGCATTTTCTGCCAGGGGAATATTTTGTATGTTCTGTCACTAATTGCAGTAAAGAGGTCAGAGATCATCATGTTATCACCATATGTTTTCACACACCTGTCTGTCTGTAGGTTATTACCTGTATATAAGTGTCTATATCACCTGTATATTTAGGTATCACCTACATACTTTGAACCTTTGAAATGTCTGTAATAGAATATGTTGCTTCTTGTACTTGTTCAGGTTAACACAATGTTCACCCACACTGAACCAGAAACCAAGCCGACACCAGCGGTCTGGGTCAGATACCTTACCAGCTACAAATTTAGCCGAGATCGCTGCCTCCTGTGACCCCTTCCATAAAACAGGTAACCATGTGACTGACCTCTAACTTTGAAACACATAACTGTGTGACCTCTAACATTAAAAAGTAATCATGTGACCTGTAATGATAAAACAGGTAACCATGTGACTTCTATCCACAGAACAGGTAATCATGTGAACTTTAACCTCAGTTCTGGTAACTGTGTGACCTATAGCAATGAACAGGTGACCATGTGACCTCAACCACTAACCTCTTAGCTGTGTGACCTCTAACTACAGACCTGTTAATCATCTGACCTCTTAATTACTGACCTGGTAATTATGTGACCTCTAACTACTGGCCTGTTAATCATGTGATCTCTTAATTACTGACCTGTAATCATGTGACCTCTTACTACTGGCCTGTTAATCATGTGACCTCTTAATTACTGAGCTGGTAGTCATGTGACCTGTAACCACCAACCTAGTAACTGTGGTACATCTTAACATCACCAAAGAAACAAAAAGATGTAATATACAATTTGTGGAGTACCTGTGATGATAGATAACCTGTTTGAAGTGTTTGGTATAACTAACACTGTGTCCCTGCTTGACCCTTACTGATCAGTCTGTATCCTTAATGTGACGTTGTACTAATGTCTAGAGCCTAACAACGATCTCCTTAATCCTTTTGTTCTATGTTACCAGTATTTCCCCAGTAAATGATGGCTGTGTTTGTGTCTATGTTTCTTACCAGGTCGGTCTGTATCTATGTGTCAGCCGTTAAGTCAGTCCGATGACTTTGGTGATGCTTGTTTAAACTCTCCGAGACTAACACCACTGAGAACCCCTCTGGAAAGGGGGACAACTGGCCACGTCAAACCATCTGATGGGCATGTTTGTAGTTCTAACAACCTTGTCTTGGATTTAGGTAACAATTTTAAAATTAACTCTGTGTATTCTCCTAGTTTTTCCTTTCTTTTTGTGTATCATTTTAATGGCAGGAAGCAAATTCAGAGACACTTAAGTACATTCATAGCTTCAGAAAATCATTACAACATACTAAAACACATTCATATCCCTGGAACACATTCAAATATACTAAAACACATTCATATCCCTGGAACACATTCAAATATACTAAAATACATTCATATCCCTGGAACACATTCAAATATACTAAAACACATTCATATCCCTGGAACACATTCAAATATACTAAAACACATTCATATCCCTGGAACACATTCAAATATACTAAAACACATTCATATCCCTGGAACACATTCAAATATACTAAAATACATTCATATCCCTGGAACACATTCAAATATATACTAAAACACATTCATATCCCTGGAACACATTCAAATATACTAAAACACATTTATATCCCTGGAACACATTCAAATATACTAAAACACATTCATAAACACATTCATATACCATATCCCTGGAACACATTCAAATATACTAAAACACATTCATATCCCTGGAACACATTCAAATATACTAAAATACACATTCATAACACATCCCTGGAACACATTCAAATATACTAAAACACATTCATATCCCTGGAACACATTCAAATATACTAAAACACATTCATATCCCTGGAACACATTCAAATATACTAAAACACATTCATATCCCTGGAACACATTCACATTCATATCCCTAACACATATATATCCCTGGAACACATTCAAATATACTAAAACACATTCATATCCCTGGAACACATTCAAATATACTAAAACACATTCATATCCCTGGAACACATTCAAATATACTAAAACACATTCATATCCCTGGAACACATTCAAATATACTATATAACACATTCAAATATACTGGAACACATTCAAATATACATATTCATATCCCTGGAACACATTCAAATATACTAAAACACATTCATATCCCTGGAACACATTCAAATATACTAAAACACATTCATATCCCTGGAACACATTCATATACTAAAACACATTCATATCCCTGGAACACATTCAAATATACTAAAACACATTCATATCCCTGGAACACATTCAAATATACTAAAACACATTCATATCCCTGGAACACATTCAAATATACTAAAACACATTCATATCCCTGGAACACATTCAAATATACTGGAACTCATTCATATCCCTGGAACACATTCAAATATACTAAAACACATTCATATCCCTGGAACACATTCAAATATACTGGAACTCATTCATATCCCTGGAACACATTCAAATATACTAAAACACATTTATATCCCTGGAACACATTCAAATATACTAAAACTCATTCATGTCCCTGGAACACATTCAAATATACTGGAACTCATTCATATCCCTGGAACACATTCAAATATACTAAAACACATTCATATCCCTGGAAAAAATTCAAATATACTGGAACTCATTCATATCCCTGGAACACATTAAAATATACTGAAACACATTCATGTCCCTGGAACACATTCAAATATCACTTAGTTTTTAACATCAGTAACAAATACACATATAGTTTGAGATTCAATACTACTAGGAGATGTTTCTATTTTTACTTATATACATATATTACTAATTTATTTAAGTTATTATAAGTAACTTTGTATTCATTATTCTATTTCAGTGTGTAATAAATTTTGTCCATACTTCTTATCTTATTTTCTGTTGTAATTCAGATCGTATGGGCCTGTTGAACAAGTGCCAGACTCCCATCCAGAATGCCCCATTGTTTCCCACCTCCTCCAAGATACTGCCCCCTACCCCCACCATGATGGGAGAGAAAGCTCACAGCTGTCTAGAATCCTGTATGACCAACACTGATTGGAACTCTAAGGTCTGTATACAGCTTGACTACAATACCGGCTGTTTATATAGCCAGTAGCATGTATCAACTTTATAGTTTTCTTCTAAAAATAAGAACTACAAGTCCTAACATGCTGAAATTTTAAAGCCTGCTGGTAATATTTATTGTCTATGTATATCCCAATGGTATCTGTGTCATTAATTATATGAAGATTGATTAAGAAGTTCAGGATGCTCTAAGGACTCCTAATTTACTTGTTATGGTGTTACACATTTATACAATCAGTGTCAAGTGCCAGGAACATTTTCCAGTTTTATTGGTGTGTTTCATTGTAGATAGTAAAGATGTATATATTTTTGCACACAGAATATGTTGTACCTACATTGAATTTAAATGTAGAAGTCTGATAAGTTAAAAGATACCTTCTTGATTTTTACAGGATCCATCTCCTAGATCAGATGATGAAATTGATCACAAGAAGGTAAAGCAGGCATTTCAGAACTCCTCCAGTCAGCTTCTACGTAGTCCATCCATATTTAAACAGGAGTTTATTTTGGAGGAAAGTCGTCCAAAAGACATTTTAATTCACTCCTCTGGTAGTGACTTATCCTCCACTGGAAGTAAGGATCGATCATCTGTGTCCAGTGACGAGATGATGGTTTCTGAAGTATTACGACCTGCCGCAGCAAAGCCTCGCCAGCGAGGTAACAATAAGAGAAGCATCTCTTCAGACAAAGAGATAAAAGAAGGTCCTACTTCTTACAATGTTGTCAGTGTTAATTCTCAAAACAAACTGGTGTCAAATCTACGAACAGTTGAATCAAGATGTAGTCCCAGCTCAAAAAGTAGTCCCGGTTCAAAAAATAGTGCCAAGACAAATTCTTCAGAGAAGGCTTTTAACAAACAAGGAAAGTCGGATCAGACATCAACAAGATTAACTAAGGATAAAGTTGTTGTCCATACACAGAAAATAGGGACGTGTACATCACTTCCTAGTAAAACTACGACTAGTGAACTCACAGAGGAAGTGATGAGGCAGAACATTCTAAATGCTAAGGCTTCTGAAAAATCTACAAAGGATATTAAATGTGCCAAATCAGACAATAGGTGCAAATCTGGAGACAGTAGATCTAGAGGATACAGTCCACTGAGGGAGGAGCCTGTGGTTGGCTCCCCTTCCAAAGGTCTTCATGTCGTGTCCACTAAACTGCTATCAAACGTCAAGGAAGAAGTTAAAAAACAGAGAATGGAGAACAGTGACACAAACGTTACTCCACAAGTATCCAGTAATTATTTGGGCAAAGAAAATGTGAACAATTCTGATGGAAATAAACAAGTACCAGTGGGAAATCCAAGAAAAGCATCTCGTTCACCTGCCCGTAGGTCTGACACAGTGCCAACAGCAAACAAGGGGAATAACTCAACTCCTTCTTATCTTAACCCAACACAGTCATCAGTTACACGTCGCCAAACTTCTGAAGGGAAAGTGGCAAAGTCACATTCAAACTTGTCAGGAAACAGTAGTGTTGTGAATGATGGTGTAAAGAGAAGTGCTGGATCCTCAAGTAGGGCAAGTAGTGCTGTACCTGAAACTTTACGCAAAAGTACTACAACTCTTCCATCAAACCGTGGGTCACAAATGAAGTCTGGTGCTTCGGTCAGAGAGTCAAAATCTGATGTATCAGTAAGGGCATCTGTTCCGCAACCATCAACGTCATCATCATCATCTTATAAGCCTACCTCTTTGTCTTCTCAGAATAATCCACAACCTAGCAATTCAGCCTCAAAGTCACGACAAACATCTGGTGTGAGGAAATCTCAAAGTGACCCAAATGTTCCACAAGAATCAAGTTCAGTGGCTAGTATTGCTGTCACCAAGTCAGGCAAAGATAATGGTTCCAAAACTTTGAAATCCACTTCTTTGACTACACTACAGGAGGCCAAAAATGAGAACACAAATAAAAATTGTGCATTAACTTCAAGAACAGGTCCCCAAAGAGGAACTACTGCGGGAGAGGATGGGAAATCTGACAAAAAGACATTTCAGTACAAGCCTGCTAGTGCAGGCAAGGGACCTTTAGTAGAGATCATATCAGAAAATTCACCTCGTGTATCAAAACCCAAGCATGTCGAGTCCCAGTCTACAGCTCCAGTACAAACACCTGTCATTGTGAATCCTTTTGAAGATATGAGACCCTACAACGCAGAGCCTGATGACAAAACAGTTACTGGAAAGGTAAATAGTAAGGGTGTGTCAGCTACAAGTTATGGTTATACTGTTGGTAAACCTTCCATTGATAGGTCAAAGACTCAAACCTCAATGAAAAGTAGGGGGAAAAGTGCCAAACGACCCATGTCAAAGGACCAAAAACCTGCATCTGCAGGGCCAAACCGACAAGGAAAGCGGCGCGGAGATAAAAGTAAAGAAGGGAAACAATCTGATGAAGGAGCAACTGGCAGGCCCAGAAGTGGTAAAAATAAGCGCACAAAATCAGGGAAGAAGAAGAAGAAGAATGAAGCTGATCTTGTGCTCAGTAAGCAGGCTTCACAATCGGATGTGGCTCTGATCTCTGGTATTGGGTGGCATGTGGCAACACACTGTGTAGATACGTCAGATGTGACAGCTGTCAAAAGAACAGACACAGATTCTTCTGATTCTTCTGACAGTGATAGTTTAGACAATGACACTCCCAGGGAAGGAGTAACATACAAACTGAGGATACCTAATCATCCCATCGATCCCACATCTAACTCCTCCACACCCAGGTTCCTGGAAGTCAAGCCGCAAGAAAAAGGGGCTCAGGCTCAACTTCCTGTTATGTCACATGACGGTTATCGACCAATGAATTTAGACATGACACAGGCATCCTTCACACCTGCATTTGGTCTATACAATGTTCTAGGGTCTGATCTTCCCCCTTCATCTTCACAAACAGATTTAAATTCTATCTTCAATAAAATGGATGGCAGTATAATAGAGCCTCCAGATGTTTTACCTACAGAGAGTGACGAAGCTATGGCAGAAATTCATCGTAACATTCTGATGGGGAAACTCACACCCATTCCCGAGTCCCCTTCACTTAAGTCTGGTAATGTTCTCCACAAGACCATTGAAGCTATAGAAAAGTTTGATCACAACATCCAGGCTGAAATGTTAAGTAGTTTACTCGGGGTTGTTAAACATGATGGTGCTGAGCCCAGTCCAAGAGTTGATCTCCTTTTCAAAGGTGCCAAAAACAAAAACAATGTTGATATGTCTAAGCATATATCTGAAAGTGTTTCTTTATCTAATTCTGCACAAAGTGGCAGACACAGTAATGGTAAAAAAAGTCTATCTTCTTCATCAAAAGAGAGGGCTGATGTGATGTCTGGAGCCTCAGTTCGCAGTCGTAAGCAAAGTTCTGAGACCAGAGGGACACGATCATCCTCTAAAGAACGAGTACATAGCAGAAAGGGACAGGAAGACCGAAGTGTTACATTAGAGGAAAGGTCTGTGATTATGTCTGGTGCCACAGTCCGTAGTAGTCTGAATGACTTGGAGGATAAGAACATAAGAGACTCTTCTGTTATAGGAGGTTTGAAAAAGTCACAGAGTGATTCATCATTCAAGCAAAGTCAGTCTGAGAGGAACTCTGGTTCTCTTTCCTCAAGCAGGAAAGATTTGAGAAAGAAGGATAATGTAGGAAACAGGCAGACCTCTGGCCAAAGAACAGGCTTAAAAACACAAGAACCTAATTCTCCTGAAAAAATTCACATTGAGGTGGTGGATAGTATCCAGAGAACCCCCCGTGTTCCAAGACTAGAAAATCTAGTCAATTTGGAAAACTCTGACAATGATGACAACGACTTCATGACAAGTCACAGTAGAAAAGAGGGCAGAAGCACTCGCAGAGAAAGGAGATTTTCTGAAACAAAGAGTGAAGACAGAAATGACAATGACCATGAGAACATTGAAGAAGTGATTGAGGAAATTTTAAGTAATACTGTTCCATCTGTTGCTTCCACACTGAAGTCTCATGGATCTCTGAAATCTGGTGGAAAGTCTCTGGCCAGTACATTCTCTGAGGCAGATACATCACTGTTAAAGAAACTATCATCAGCACCCCAAAACTCTCCTTTCCATGCAAAGAGTTCCTCATCTGCAGTTAGACAGTCTGGATCATATGAGGACCTCTCAGTTCCTCATCCAACCAATCCAAACCTATTGAACGTATTTCATGCAGAGAATTTCCAACTTGGGCAAAAGGTAAAGGCAATGATTGATGCAGGAGCAAGCAAGTCCAAAGTGAAGGCAATGGCAGATGTTGATAATGAGGCCAAACAAATAGCAAAGATTATGAACAGCTTCAAACAAATGGAGCTGTATGCTGGTAGTGCACGTACCCCAGGTACACAGGATCTTATCCCTAAACCAGAGACAAGTTCCATGGAGCCTGTTCCAGGAAGGAAACCTCCACTAGGACCAGCCAGGCCCAGCTCTGCAGGAGCTGGGAAGGTCAGGTCAGCAGGAAGGTTCACAGAGATTAAGAACGAAAAGAATGTGTCAGCTTCTAAAGACAAATCTCTAAGAAGGAGCACAGACAACAGGGTAAGTTCACTGGTTACAGTTGGGCGAGGTGTCACGGTGACTGTCATGGTAACTGTCACTGTGAAGTACTGTATACCATGATTTTGTCATCTCTGTTTAATTTTTGCCCTTTTTGTTCATGAAGAGGGAGAGGAAATTTAAGATTGGGGCAAAAATGTGTAACACTTATATAAACCTTTTTATGATTATCAGAGGGCAAAGTGAGGATGAATTTGTGTGTAAGGCTCCTCGATCCGAATACATAGATAAACAGGTTTAGTCTACATAATAAATATATAAATTACAATATGTTACATACCTTGAAAAGTTATGAAGTCCAAAATTTTCTCGTTACAGGTACACGATATTGGTTTCCCACCAGGAGACCCAGGAGAACAGGATGTGAACATTGTAACACCTGATGCAGACGTAAGTGTTGCTTTCTAGAAATAGTATTATATGTTACCAATGTAGGAAAAAAGATACAATGAGTAGATTGATTTGTATTCTGAATGTTTTTTGGTCATGCACTGTTGTAATGATGGGCTGCCCTGTAAGACATACATGTTTTAATCAGTGTTTGTATGTTATAGACTATTATAAGCTGTCTTGGCACCCTAAGTAGACCTGGCAGTGCCTGTACCACCATCAGCACCCAGTCCAGTGTGGAGGACACTATCCAATGGAAGAAAGGCAATGTTCTCGGCAAAGGGGCATTCGGAACAGTAAGTTACCTCATTGTCATTCATTTCTTGTAGGAATTTCCGTTAGATTTGCTTCATATTATCACCGTTCTGCATGAAGCTTACATCCACACTGAAGGCTATATATAGTACAACACACTCTTATATCACTATTGATTAGGAAATAAGGGCGCCATAAAATTGTCATGATGTCTTTCCATCTGTGAGCACTTTTATTTAAAAGAGATTATCATTTATTTCAATGCCTCCACCAGGATTCAAACCCGGGTCCTCCTACTCAGTTGATTAAGCTAAAAAGAGATCTCTCGCTGAATGGAATATTGTGTTTAGCAGCATTATTCCAGGGTTACATACTCCCCCTCGATCTTGAGTTTCCTGGGGTTACAGTGGTTTCTATGGGGCAAAACTACATATTATTCATGAGTCTTGCACTCAACCAAGCAAGATAAAGCGAAGACCTCATGAGCCAAGTGGTATGTTGTAGCTAGTATTATACCAGGGTTACATTTACATGACCATACACTGTCTTGTAAATGTGCAATAAAGGTATAACAAGTTCCTTAAGTCAAGGTCAAGGTCACTGTTACTAAAACTAGAACTGAGATTATATAGTACATAGTATATGAAAATATACTGGTAAATATTATTGTATGAAATTATGTAGCAACTAGGTCAAGGTCAAATTTCAAAATATTTTACTCATAAATCTTCTGTTATGACATTGTAAAGTAAAAACTGGTCAGAATGAAATGACAAATTACCTGACTACAGGTCAGTCCCCGGATAAAAGGTCAAGGTCAAATTTTAAATATTTCATTAGGAAACATTTCTAATGCTATATGTGCATTTAACCTAACTTTATCAGTAATTCTGATGGATATTGTCTCTTTATTACAGGTTTGGTGTGGACTAACCAGTGAGGGTCAGCTAATAGCAGTCAAGCAGATTGAGTTAAACACTGGAAACCAAGATAAGGCTAAGAGGGAGTACGAGAAAGTACAGGAGGAGGTGGAACTGTTAAAAACTTTAAACCACAAAAATATTGTAGGGTAAGGCTCCTTAATCATGATCTATTCACAAAAATATTGCCTGGTAAGGCTCCTCAATCAAACTCTATTCACAAAAATATTGTCAGGTAAGGCTCCTCGATCAAGCATTATTCACAGAAATATTGTCAGGTAAGGCTCCTCAATCAAGCTCTATTCACAATAATATTGTCTGGTAAGGATCCTGAAATGTCTGACCATAAAATCTTTTGTTAAAAAATTCTCAACAATAAAAACTCTCATGTTACTCTCTGGGACAGTATTGTATTTGTCATTATCTGTTTTGTATTTAGTTACCTAGGCACCAGTCTGGAGGAGAACATTGTCAGCATCTTCATGCAGTTTGTCCCAGGAGGATCCATTGCCAGTATTTTAGCACGGTTTGGGGCTCTGGACGAGGCTGTGTTCCGTCGCTATACCAAACAGGTGCTAGAGGGTGTCGAGTATCTCCATGCAAACGATGTCATCCATAGGTGGGTTATTGTAGATTGACGGGTTTGTTAACACAAACCTAAGATACTGACAGGTGTTTTTCATACCTCAATGTTCAAATCTTTAAGGGAATGAATTTGTTTATATTTCAATATATCTTTTTAAAAAAAAATTCATTCTTGATTGAACTAATAATAACTTCATAGGAAAAACACAAATGAATCCTTTGACATGTATGTATTGAAGTTTTGTAGCATTTTATTGGACATACAGGTCTTTAATTGTAACTTTCTATTTTCCCTACCAGGGACATCAAGGGAGGTAATGTGATGTTGATGCCAAATGGAATCATCAAACTTATAGATTTTGGATGTGCCAAGCGCCTGTGTATCAACCTAAGCATGGGTCAGTCACAGATTCTCAAGTCCATGAAGGGCACACCATTTTGGATGGCTCCTGAGGTAGTCAACGAGACAGGACATGGCAAGAAATCTGACATTTGGAGTGTCGGATGTACAATATTTGAGATGGCCACGCGGAAACCACCATGGTATGCTTGGTGATTTCCACACCTTGTAACATTTTACCTGAACATTTAGTCCAGTGGACTTTGAATTCCTTTATGAGCAGTACACCATTCTACTAATGAAGTTAAATGGATGCAAATTATTAATACTACAATTATTAATGTCTTGCTTATGTTATGTTAAACTTGTATATTTCAAAATTATTTTTCCACATCATGTAAATTTGATAATAAGTATAAAATTATATAGGCTTGAAAATGATGACATATACTTGTAAATTCATAATGAATGTTGTAAATTTTGAAGTGTTTTATGTTTGCGTTATAGGGCAGACATGAATCCTATGGCAGCCATCTTTGCCATTGGCTCGGACAAGCCAGTTCCACAGCTACCAAACAAGTTCTCTCCAGATGCTATTTCCTTCGTGAATGCCTGCTTGACCAGGTTAGTTTTAAAGAGCAAGTAGTGAATATGGAAACCCCGTATCAGCCCTCCTTGCTATTTTTCTGAGTGCCTCCTTGATTTTGATTTCATATTGTTATCCCAGAATTCCGTATGTTAACCTTAACTTTGCATCCACATATTGAAGTAAAACAAGAGAACAGATTGTCATGAATTTTGCCATTTTGACAAGTCTCTCTCATTTTGAAATAGAGTAAGTTGACGCTTATGGGACCTCAATACTTCCAAAAGATTGTGAATTGACTTGAAATAGTGAGCATGAGAGAGGATTGTTACATAACAGGATGTATGACAAATTCATTTTGATGAGAGACTTCAAGAGAGAGGCAGAGTGAAATTTATGACATTTGATGTCCGAGAAGAATTCTTTGTCAATACAATGAAATATTATGTTCAGTGCCTAAGCAAACTAGATGATAAGGAGAATGCACTAGTGCTGTTCACAGCTATGTAATTATAATTTGAAAAACATCTACCTAATTTTGTGCTAGAAACATTAAAACCCCATCTAAAGGCCTGCTGTAGTACAAATTTGTGTCATTGTCTTCATGTCTCTGGCCTCCATTTCAGGGACCAAAACAAAAGACTGTCTGCCACTCAGCTGCTGCAACACATGTTCATCAACAAGAAGAAGAGCTCCAGGAAATGAACCAAAGGCAGATAACTCTTCCTGGACATTAAATAAAAGTTTCTGCAGTTTTGTAGCAATAAAGCTGGAGAATAGAAAAAGATCTGTGTATGAGTAAATGTATTAGAACTTTTGTAAAAGTTAGATAGATCTATGTGTCAGTAAACATTGATGTTGCCACTGATAAACTTGGGACAAGGTCTTTTCAGGAGGTGGAGTGTGTCAATTCAGCTAAATACAAATGGCTGCTTACTGACTGAAAATTTCTCTAAAGCTTATTTGGTATACAGTATGGCTTTCTAGTAAGAGGTTTTAGGTATAATTTCTAGTGCAGACATTAAAATATGATGACCACTGTTTTGTAATTGATCTCTGTCTGTATAGATGTTGGAAGTCTCTATTTGTAGAGATGTTACTAATCTCTGTCTGTAGAGATGTTGTAGAGACTCTATCTGTAGAGATGTTTTAGAGATTATCTGTAGCGATGGTGTTACTTATCTCTATCTGTAGAGATGTTATTCTGTAAGTATGGATGTGTTGTAACATCTACAGAAGTCTAACATTATTATGTGTATTTATGTAAGTCAGTGCTGCTGTTTAACTAACTGTGATGTAGATCATGCTGACGTCTTTATGTGCCATTCATAGATTAAAATATTTTACTTAAAGATGCCTGTCTATCTGGTGAAATATTTTCATGAAGACTATATTTCTGTGGATCAAATTTTACAATTGTTGCCAAAGTCCGAGACATCCTATTTAAGATTCTGTTCCCTCTTGCTGTGGATTGTTAGTGACTATGCGTTTGTAAGTATCAGGCTTAAGCGGTGCTTGTGTGGAAAATAGGACACGTTTATCAGCTCTGAGTAAGGAAGATATTGATATAACAGAAGATGTATGTTTATATGTTGTTACTGATATTAAAACAAATTCTCAGAAATTATGTTAATGTATTTAAGCGAGAAACGAAGACAGCCCAGGAATACATTTGTTATGACAGGAGTGATATATACTTAGATAGAGATTACATCAGACCTCTGATGTGGTGAATATTTACTTTTCATTTACGAACTGTTCCATGCGTGTAGATATCTAATTATGTCATTTGTGGGATCATTTTACAAAGGAAAAAGATCTTTTTAAAAGAAGAGCTTTTATATATTTCCACTTTTACTTTGTAACTTTAGAAGTTAAATGTTATAATATAAAGGAAAACTTTTGGTGTTTTTGTATCATTAGAATTGTAGAAGTGTATTAGATCAGTGTAAGCCAGTAATTAAGGGCCCTTACAAGTTGTACTCTTTAGGAAAGTAATGTGACAGTATTCATTAACAAGGTCATTCATCATTCCCTCAAATGATCATCCTCATCATAAAGTAGATTTTCGTTTGGTGGACACAAATTAATTTCTCCCACTTAAATAACGCCATACCTCCTTAAGTTATAGAATACTTAGAGCTGATCACAACTTTTTATTATTGATATTTTTGTCGTCCTTTCTTGCAATAATCCGATACCTTTTTATTCATATATAGCAAGTAATTACCAGGAAGTTTTCATTCCATTTTGATTCAATTTTTTCAAGGCCATTTGAAATTGATGACTTGTTCCAAATGTTATATACAGCAATAGGTTAGAAAGTAATCACTCATATATATATTGACGTTATTGTACAGCCAAAGTTTACACCCATAAACAGTGATAATGGTACAGATTAATTTCATTTTATTATGTTCATACTATCGATTACATTAATAATTGTTGAAGAAGGAAGTAAAGATAAAGACAATACATTTGTTTTACTGTTGATTACCAGAACCAATCAGATTCCAACCATACTGTCAATGTGCTTATCATAGAAGTAGTCTTATTTCAGTGCTTTTTATGCCAAATATTTGTGATGAAATAGAATTGCACGAAATTAAGGATGTTCCTTTACATTGTCAAAGATTACAAAGGTTAACTGGAACATGTCTGTGAGACATGAATGTCCCCGATCCTATGCATATAAGTATCATTGTTTGATGATTTTAAAGAATATATGAAATATGACCTTTGACCCTTTGACTGATGACCACCTTGATGTTTTGATACAAGATGGTAGTTACTAAGAGGTTCTAAGATTTGATTCGGAATGGGAATCAAAAGGACAGGACAGATGGACATGCTCTAAGCTCCCCCATAAAATGATGGAGGCCTGAAAACTTTCACTTAGTGTTTTACTGTGTTTAATGGAGATGATAATGGCCAACATTGAATTTGATATTTTACATCAGGTGTTGTGCTCAATGAACAGCTGTGTTTCTGGTGCAAAAGATTCTCCTGTGTGGCTTTTTCTGTGGGCATTTTACATAAAATGTAAGGATTTATTTAATAAATGTATGCTAACGTTATTGAATGGTATTCTTAAATCTGAGAATTGATTTGAGATATACACATGGTTTCTGTGTATCCACAGCGCTTTTATATAATGTAAATAGTGATACACAGGTAACTGTTAAAATTTCTTTACTGGTATTGTCATTTTGTACTCTTTTTATAACTTAATTTTGTTAACATATTGCAATAAGTAATACGATACTTTAACTAAGTTCTTTCTAGGTATTTTGTTATGAAAATGGAAAACTGTACTTACCTGTGTTGTTGTATTGTTTAAGTGGTTAATATTAGGTTTACATTTCTTGTTTGATGCAAAAGATTTCACCATCAAACAAATTGGACACAAGGATTTTAAAAATACCAGCCACACATAACATTTACTTTACCTAAACAGTAAAAATAACCATGGCTAATGATAGGATCATCCACTTCAGTAGCATTACAATATCTACCAGAATCAGCAGAACAACTCCTCCTACATCAAATAAAAACATACCCCAGCAAAATCGTGGAAGAAAACACTCACCATGGCAACTGGCAAAACACCATCACCAGTAACACAGGAAATGTCAGTAATAATGAATTTACATCACCATCTTAGACAGAACATCATTCATCTTCAACACTGAAAAATACCACACACATTAACACTCAAGCCTATCATAACACCACACACTGCATCAAACACTATCACCAAACCTCACACCACATTGAAGGCTATCACCAAAACCCACACCATCACTGAAGCTATCACAACACCACACACCACCACTGAAGGCTATCACAACACCACACACCACCACTGAAGGCTATCACAACACCACACACCACCACTGAAGGCTATCACAACACCACAACACTACCACTGAAGGTAATCACAACACCACACACCACCACTGAAGGCTATCACACCATACACCACCACTGAAGGCTATCACAACACCACACACCACCACTGAAGGCTATCACAACACCACACACCACCACTGAAGTCTATCACAACACCACACACCACCACTGAAGTCTATCACAACACCACACACCACCACTGAAGGCTATCACTACACCACACACCACCACTGAAGGTTATCACAACACCACACACCACCACTAACCACCACTGAAGGCTATCACAACACCACACGACAAAATTACACCACCATTACATGATCACACAAATCCCAGAATCATCACTCTGTTTGATGTTGTGTATGTGTACTTGTTATCTATTGTTACACACAACTGGATCTTTGTGTATTGACTATTGTTTTATTATATATATATGTCGATGCAGTGCATTGTTGGTAGAGTCTGAAAATGTCTTCCATTTTGTAAATAAAAAGATCATTACTAGATTATCTGTTTTATATGGTTTTTTTCCTCCCTTTCAAACATCAATGGGGTAGTCATCACTTAGTTTCACATATTTGTGTCCAAATAGAGAACAAAGAGGATGGTGCGACAGTTAATTTTTGTATTCATCAGATTTTGTAGAATCAAGGAAATCAGTTGTAAAAGAAAATGTGCATTTAAAAGTCACCTGGTCCAAATGATGGAACAGATTTTGGCCAAATTTGGTTAAAGTCATCATTTGGGGGAACGGGCATCAATTATATATATATATATATGTATTGTGTCCAACTTCCCTGGGGCCTGAGGGGTGGGGACCAAAAGGGGAAATTCAGCAAATTCTATGAAATCCTTGTTTTGTAAGAATGCCTGGATTCTGTCCCAATTTGTTCTGAAACATCCTTCAATGAAGAGGGGATCAATTTTTTTTCATTAATGGTAGGTTTCAGCTCCTAGAGGCAGGTGGGTCAGGCCCAATGGGAAAAAAAGGAGGAATCACTTAAATTTTTTTCCTCTGTTTGGATGAAATTATTTTAACCAAATTTATCAGAAGCATGCTAGGGTTAAGAGGAAATAATTTTGTATAATTGTTAGTCTTTTTACAGTAAGCGACATGAAACTGGAGGGATGATATGCAGTTGTATGTACAAGCAGAGGCTTGCTAGGGTAAATACATATTGCCCCAAGTTGTTTTGTGATACATATATATGAAAAGTTAATTTATGTGAATAGACTTGCCTGTTCTACAGCTTACAGAGATCATTATTTTAGTTCTATAAGTCAATTTATGCAAACATGAAAGCCCATCCCATAAACAGGCTTTATCACATGTACCATGACCCAGAGTCTATCAATTATTGAACAAAACAGAAAAGTAATTAATACATCCGACCTTTGTGATGTTGAAAGTGGGTATAGATCATTCATCTGAACAAACTTGAAAGCCCATTCCCCAAGTATGCTGCTACATGTGCATATATACCATGACTATGCCTTTCATTAATGAAGCTGATTTTTTAACAACTTAGGAAGCTGTTAATCCAAACATTCCACCGGCCATCATCATAACCTTGGGCCTTTTGGTTATTGGGAGTTCAAAGCAGTCCTTAGATTTTCAAGACCCAGTGACCTTGAAAGTGAACCCAGATAATGCATTTAAACAAACCTTGTTGGCTTTTTTTTTCAGCACAGTACAGGCCTAATAATACAGTATCCTGGATTTTTTGGTGATTGAGAAGATGACCTTCATGACCGCCACCTGACAAGGTTGTTTTCCCTGTCAACTTTCCTGGAATTCTCCCACTCAGTGATATATAGTTTTGCTGTGTGGAATGATCTGAAGTGCCTATTTAATGATCTGGCACTTGGATTGCTTTCGCTCTGATCTTGAACTTGTTATAGCCATCATGGGATATTTATGTCAATTAAGTTGGACCCTAAAGTACTTTAATTTGTCAT